GTAAAGGATAAAAATATAAAAAATTTTAAAATTTAAATATAAAATTTTTAAGAGTAAGTACAAATAGCTAACACATGAAAGATGCTCAACCTCACCATTGGCCAAATAAATGCATATTAAAACAATATCATTTCTTAACTATTGGAAAAAGATTGAAAGGATCTACATTAGTCAATATTGAAAAGAATGGGAGCAGTCGGTACTTTTAAAACACTTGATATATGCATATTCTTTGATCAGTAAATAATTCAACTTCAAGGAAGTTGTACTAAGAGGTACATAAGTGTAAATATGAGTATGTTCATTTAATGGGGGAAAATTGGAAACAACTATCTATCCAAAGGAGCTTGTTACATTACGGCATTTTTATATAGTGGAATATTGTGTAGTCATTAAAAAGATGACTTATACATTGGCACAGAAAGATGAGCAGAATATTTTAAGTGGAAAAATCCCCACAAATCTAATATTAGGGGGAAAAAAGAAATATTTATACAGATCTACTGAGAAAAAAAGTCTGGAGAGGCATATTTCAAACTGCGGTTGAATATAACCACAGTGGTGATCTCTGATAGCTGGGATTATGAGAGATTTGCATGTTTTAATTTAAGTACTTTTGAATTTATTTTTTTCAATTGAATATCATTTTATGCTCAAGGGGAACTGAGCATATCCCCCAGATAGAAAAGAAAGAATGTGGAGGAAAACAGTGAAATGGTTGCTGTGTACTGCTTATTTATGTTCCCCACCCCCCAAATTCATATGTTAAGGCCCTAATCCCCAATGTGGTAGTATTTGGAGGTGGGGCCTTTGGGAGGAAATTGGTTCTGAATGAAGTCCTAGGAGTGGAGTTCCTGTTATGGGATTGGTGCCCTAAAAAAGGGTACGAAGCTAGGAGATCTCTCTCAGCCATGTGGAGATACAGCAAGAAGGTGGCTGTCTACAAACCTGAAGGGGTGTCCTCACCCTAACCCGACTGTACCAGCACCCTGATTTCAGTCTTTTTGTAGTGGCTCAAGCTAACTAAACCAATGAGTTTGGGGTGGAACAACTCTGAAGGAATGCTTTTCAAAATAGGTAAGACATAAAATTGTATTTAGGCCCTGGGAAAGAAACTACTGGGGAAAAGAGATAGGAAGCATGAGGAGATTATTAATCAACTGACGTCCTAGAAGGGCTGGAATAGTACAGCAGCCTCGGGGCTAACTGTAGAAAGAAGGAAAGGAAAGGAGGACAACACAAATAAAATTAGGACAAGTTTTTGAGGAGGAGAAGCACAGAAGATATTAGAGCAAATAAGCCCATTTTTTCCCCCAGTGGATTGGGAGAAAAGTTTATCAGCTGAGCAGGTTTGGGACAGGTATCTGGAGGGCCACAGAAAGTGTATTGCTGCTGCGTGAAATGAGGCACGGTATCAGAATTATCAGGAATATGCTTATGAGATTCCTGAACTCCATCCCAGATCTACCAAGGCATAATCTCTGAAGGTGGGTGATTCTAATGCACACTAAAATCTGGAACCTTTGAAATAAAAGGATAACTAACAATAAGTACCCACTGCTGATGCTAGGTCGCAATGATCTGAAATAGAGTCAATTAATACATTAGTATGATTACCTCCAGGATCATTCAGTAGCCTGAAGAGACTACTTAAAAGAAATAGGTAGCTAGGTTATACTCAGAGTTGGGCTTTGGCAATGTGGACATAGAAGAAAGTGAGTGTGCCAGTGGAGCCTGGTAAGTGCCTCATTAACCTGGATGATCATGGGGTCAAGAGCTGGGTGGAGAGGAAAAAGCTGAGGGGGTGCATCCTGAGGAGGACGTTCGCACATTTGTGAAAGAGAGTGGGTGAAATGTGAGGACGGCAAGTTTTAGTCAGGGAGATGTGTCTTGGTGTGAAAGTTTCTGAAAGAGAAGATGGTAACACATCCCAGAAATAGCCATCAAAGGGCTTCTGAACTAAAGTGGAGGTAAGGTTGCTCAAGTAGAAGAGATCGGGGAAATGAAGTGAGAGTGTGAGACAGTTTTCCTTATGAACACCAGACTTGTTGAATCCCATCAGTGGAAGCAAAATGGTTACTCAAGGTACAGTCAGATAGAGAAGAAGAGAATGTTGGGGCCAGGGAATGACAGAGTCAGGGGGATCTAAAAGAGCTGGGTAGGCTAGCTGTGGAGAGTCAGCATGGCACTGCATCTCAGGGAGTACAATTTTAGAAGTCTTGGCGGCAGGAGGAATCAATATGTTGGCAATGGATAGTGACCTCTCAGATGTCCTTGTGGTGAGAGCTGGGATTTTAGTTCAGTGCTTTGCATATGCTTCTGTTTTACTATATGATGTATTCACTTGGAAGTCTCGTCACTTAGACTATACTAGAGATCCATCTTCCTAATTTTTGAACTTGTCAGGGGTGTGCCTGACCCATGGTATATACTCAGTAAAACCTTTTCCAAATGAGTGAGTGAATGAATGAATGAAAAGTAAGCAGAAGGAACTCTGGTGTGAGAGTACAAACAGGAGTGTGAGCAAGTTACGATCAGTGAGAAGTTAGTAGTTCTTGGTGATGAAAGCGAAAGTGTGACTGTTCTCCGAAAGGAGAATAAAAGACCTAACAAAGATTCCATTCTTCTCTACCTGAGCATGGAGTGTTCAGCACCACAAACTCAGCCTTGGCTTTCTTCAAATTCTCCCCCGAGGCAACCTCTCCTTATTCTTGGCTTCAATGATCACATCTATGAGCACACAGATCTTTCCTCTGACTCCAGAAGCAAATTATTTCTCACTTACCGTCTTCTCTCTAATGCACTAGAGAGCCCCTGAGGCTTAATTGGCACACACAGAAGTCATGGTCTTCCATGGCAGTCCTGTTCTTTTCTAGTGTTTCCTCTCCCAGTGCCTAGCACCTCCTTCTCCAGCAAGCCAGGGACCCAACAATCAACTTTGTTGTGTCCCTCTCCTCGCGTTCCGTAGCCAAACCACCAAGTTCTTCCAGTTTTAATATATAAAGAACTCTTAAATCCTTCCCCTTCTCTCCCTGTCAGAGCCATCACCCAGTGCTAGAATTCTGTAATATCCCCCAGTGGGTCTACATATGACCACTTTAGGCACCCTAAAATCCCCTTCCCACCACATATCCTGGTTGATTTTTTTTAAAACTCAAATTTGGTGGTGGTATATTCTCATCTAAACCACCTTCATGGCTTACCATTGCTTTGCCCTGAATATGATTTATAGGGCTCAGTATGTATGGTCTGACTCCCACCGATGGCTCCAGGTTCATTTTGCACCACGTTCCTTCACTGTCTCTGTGAGCCAGCCAGTAGGTTGGCCAGAACACCATACTGTTCCCACCCCCACTCCGCAAGGCCATTGAACATGCACTTCCTTCCCCCACTTCATGTAGTTAAGCCCTATGCTTTCTTCTGATCTCAGCTCAGACATGATTTCCTTGGAGAAGCCATCAGAGATATCTCCACTGAGGCGAACCCCCCCTCTTTTATTTGCTCATGAAGTATGTCTTACATCTTTATAGCATACATCTCAATTGTGATTTCATATTTCTGTGTGTACGATTATTTCACCTATGTCTGTCTTCTTCATTAGACTCATTAGACTCTGTAAAGGGCAAGAACCCTGTGTGCTTTGCTAAATGTAGTGCTTGGCACATAATGGGTATGCCATAAATATTTCTTAGATGAGTGAATAAACAGACCAAAGAACACCCTTGTGTGATATTAGTTGTAGTCACAGCAATAAAGTCCTGTTTCTCTGGTCCATACACTGGGACTTGGGAATAGTGTAGTCACAAGTAATCCTTCTGAACAATGGTATCCATGATAACTTAACCAAGAATGAAAGCCAGAAAGCTGCACTCTTATCCTGGCTCTGCAATGGTGTGCCCTCAGGTAAGTTATAATTACTTTAGGTCTAAACTCTATACCTCATCTATAGATTAAGTATCTCCTTCTGTCTGTGGACTGTCAGCAGCTGTTTTCTCGAGATCTCACCTCCTTCCCTTCCTGCCTGTCTCCTCAGTTGGAAATGACTGTAGGCCTTCTGCAAAGTAGGGAAAGGCCCAAAACAGAGCTGACTTCTCTGTGGGAGGATTGGGAGGAAGCACAAAGAGTGGGTACTCATTCCATGGGACTGCCTTGGTATTCAAAAACAACGGATGCATTCTATCTCTTCAGACAAACTAGCTTTAAAAAGCAAGGCTTAAATATTGGACATGCCAGAAAGCTAGTCCTAAACAATTTGTTGCCTATAAGGATGATAATTTATCAAACTTAAATGGCATAACCTAGAAGTCGTATTAAGAGTATTTACCCCCTTTCTTGTTTAACTGGGATGGCATATACTCAAACTGATCTCTTTCTGGCTCAGTGATCTCCAAGCAATATAGAGTTTCAAGCTGTTATTGTTTACTTTCTATGAATTTTGCTTAAATGTTTCATGGTAAATGAAGGGGAGAATCTAGATTTTCAAACTGAAATCCTCCTTCAGAAGAAAGTCAACAAGTTGCTTTCTCCATCCTTCTAATTCTTAGATCCCGATCTATCCTCAGAGATGAAACCCAGCCACAGTAACCAAGGAAGAGATCCATCCTGTCCTAAAGACTTGCAGTGTAAAACTTGCAGTGGTCTCTCTGTATGTTAATTTCTCCATCTCTAGAATGGATGTAGTTGTTCTTACCACCATGAGGGAGGTGTCATTAAATCACTGAAATGATATTGGAAGAAAACAAGAGGGATTAATCTTGCAGAACAACACATCTGTATTTTCTTCATATTCTCTGATGTGCATGAAATGTTCCTTCAGAAGAGAATGTTTACACTGGATGTATGTGTACCTGATATGACAGTCCCAAACTACACCCCAACCACCCACTTCTGAACAGGAGGGGGGAAAAAAAACCAGAAGCCTGCAATTGTGTAACATGCAAATCTCTTCTGGACGGGAGCCCATCGCTGTGGTTTGGCAACACAACCAGCACAACATCTCTTCTCTCATCTTTTGAAAACAAAACAAAACAAAAACCAATAGAGAAAAAATTACCTTGAGAATAAAGGTAATGATTAATCTATCAGGCACAAAAAGGATCGTTTGGGGGATTTCAGGTTCTAACTTGCTAATTCAAATAAACAACAGTGAACTGGAGACGACAATTTCACCAGAAGAGGATTAAGTCACGGGTTCTAATTGGGACAGTGTCTGTACAGTCAGAGAATCTCACCAGACATCTCCAGGAATCTGTGAGCAGTTGTCAAAACTTCCATTTTCATGTGTGAGTGAAGTAGGGACCAGAAGGAGCAGGTACTGGTGGAGAGTGGTCCTTGGAGAAATCCCAAGATGCAGCCTGGGAAAGGACAAAAGGGGAAGAAGAGCTTCAAGCAAAGATTGGTCTTGAAGAGCAGCTTAGCTAAAGAAACAATTTCTGAGTTCTTGGGCACCTTTATAATGATCGTAAGTGTTTCCTGAATTCTGACCCAATTATGCCTTCCTTTCTACCTAGCTGGTAATGAATCCTTTTCTTTTCTTTTCTTTTCTTTAAGTTTGTTGCTAGATTCATCTCTTCCTGGGCTGTTTCGCTACATACTGGCCACAGGTTGGGTTTCTATTTACTCATTTCATTTATTCACAAGAGTTGATGGGGGTAGGAGATGGGGAGTGAACTACTTTCTTCACTACAGAGATTTACTGAGACTCTGAACTGGCTTTGATTTAAGTTAGCCATTAGTAACTTTTCTCACTGGTTAATTGATTTATACCTTGTTTATTTCCCACAAATATTGAAGTGACTCAGTCACTTGAAATAAGGATTGGCAGTCAATAAATATGAATGGCAAGAAACAGCTCAGTATTACAAGTGCTTGGCAAAGATGTGTTGTCTATCACTTGACTTCTAACAAGTTAGAAATTGCACTACGTAGAAATATGCATTCTGCAATCATCCAGCTTTGGTTTTACCTCATTTTCCCCTTTTTACCTTAAACGGATCTCTAAAGATCTTCAATGAGACAGTTACAAAAACCCTGTGTGTGTGTGTGTGTGTGTGTGTGTGTGTGTGTGTGTGTGGTTCTTATGTATATGTATATATATGTATATGTATATATATATATATATATATATATGTAAGGAAGGACTCAAGGATTTTGTCCAGAGAATTGCACAGCTATTAAGGAAAGACTGGACAGTATACTTAAGTGGCATAGGCTCTAAGCTTTCATCCTGTTGCATGCTATAACATTCTTTGGATCCTGAATTTTCAGCTGGAGCCAGAAAATTAAATGTTCACTTATTCTCATATGCAACAACTACTGACTTTAACTTGCTTTAAAAAAAATCCACTCAAGGGGCTCCTGGGTGGCTCATTTGGTTAAGCATCAGACTTTAGCTTAGATCATGATCTCACGGTTTGTGAGTTCGAGCCCTGTGTTGGGCTCTGTGCTGACTGCTCAGAGCCTGGAGCCTGCTTTGGATTCTGTGTCTCCCTTCTTTCTCTGCCCCTCTCCTGCTTGTGCTCTCTCTTCTCTCAAAAATAAATAAACATTAAAAATTTTTTTAAAACCACTCAAAGATTCCCTACTTCAGGTATTAGTAATATCATTTTTCTTAAAGTTATAGTGACTTGTCCATAAATTTAAAAGTTCTTGGTTATGTACAGCATGGTGACTACAGTTAGTAAAACTGTATTGCAGATTTGAAAGTTGCTAAGAAGAAAGATCTTTAAAGTTTGTTACCAGGAGAAAAAAAATTGTAACTATGTTGTGATAAATGTTAACCAGATTTATTTTGCTGATCATTTCATAATATATATAAATATCGAATCATTATATTGTACACCTGAAGCTAATATAATGTTTACAAGTCAGCTATATCTCAGAATAAAGTTCTTGGCTTTATATAAATATGTAATAATTTAGGAGAATAAGCCAAGATCAAGAAACAAATTGAACTCAAAAAATCGAACTAGTGTAAACTGAGAGAAAGTCCTAAGTTTTCTTGTCTCTGAGAGCCTCTTTTTATTGAATTCATTCAAGTATTTTTGAGGCATATGGACAGCAATTTGCACTCCTTCTTGATGGCCCTCACTTACTGGAGTTAGGAATGCGGATGGGAGGGTGAGTGTTTGAAGGAAAAGGGAGAAAATAAAAGCCCATAATTCTTCTGATCTTACTCTGTGCTCTCAGGGAGACAAAAACTCATCGTGTTACTTGCAATTTGGTCCCAAAGAAGTAAGTAGATGTCACCACAGGCTCAATGCAGCTCTATGGTGACCTGTGGTACTGAGAAGTAAAGCCAATTCAGTTACTGTCTGTAGCAGTCTGCAGAAAACACAGAGGAGGAAGTGAACTCAACAATCATTTTGCAACTGAAAAAGTTAAAAAAAAAACCCTCCTTTTTAAAAAATTTAAACCCTTCTTTCTTAACGAGAAGCTGTTTCTTAATCCCTTCCCCTCCGAGTTGAGTAAGTAAAAGTTGCTGTCAGCCATTTACTCATACAACTAGGAGCATGTCTTCCCCTCGTATTCAAGGTGGGAACTAAAGACATAATATGTTCATAGCATATGTTGAAAAATTAAACTTTGTGTCTCTGGCCAAAGCCAATAATTTCCTAAATGATTTATTTCCATCTACATTGTACACTTATTTTTTAAAGCAAACTCTGATGGAATCCATAATTGTGATTATCATATTTTTATTAAGGCTTGGGGGTATATACGCCAGAAGTTTTTCCACAACACAGTATTTTTTTCTAACCAGTTAATCTATGTGGCTTTGCTCAACTCTTAGCCAAAATAATTATTTCTGCTTTATTAGAAACTGTGCATATTGTGTTGCTTTGTATGGGAAAAAGCTTTGCCTGTTGATAAGGCATGGGCAAAAGGGAACATAAAAAAAAGATGGCAGAGAATATGCAGGACTCATATTCTTTAAATTTGGTTTTCCCCCCAGACCCTGAGAGTCTGGTGCCATTTCCCCCCTTCCTCTTAAAAACCTGTTCTTTAGAAGAAGCATCTTAAACTCATTTATACCATGGCGCAAATGACTGATAAGACCCACCGGTAGCATTAAGGTCCATGAAAAATTCTTTGTAAACTACAACTAAAAACAGCAATAACTAGGTTATAAGCCAAAGAACTAGCTCTAATCTGGGCCTATAGACATGGGATATGTATACCTTTTCACCTTTGCTAGTGCCAGGGAGAGGGCTTGCCTAAAATATAGAAGAGGTTTCAAAGCCTTGGGCTGCAAAGGTAGGAAAGGAGTATGTATTAAGTACCTTCCATATGTTAGCTTCTTTACATACATTTGTTTAATCCTACAATAGTTGCATTGGCAAGGCTTTATTATCACTCATAAACAATTGAGCCCAATGAGGGCTCAAAGAGATGAAGTCACTGGCCCAAACCTGGAAAGCCCTGTACTGGCATTCTTTCTAATTCTAGAGCTTACACTTCCCCCCATTGCTGGAGTTCCTTCCACACTGTCCTTGAAAGAGAGTAAATCAGACTCTTTCCACTTTAACATCTCCATAGATTGGAGCCATGAATTAGCTCTCATTAATTTTTGGGCATTTTAGTTTAACTGGTGGGCAACTGATGAGGCCAGAGCTTTCTGAAGCAGAAAAGACTGCTCCACAGGGGCCAACATGTATGAGAGGAAGGGAGAGAAAAGGGAATTGCTCAGCCTCCTGCACATGGCTCTGGGCCTGGGGATTTCAAGCTGCACATTAGTACCCACTGTATGGAAAGCTCCTGAGGTAGGAAATACTCATAAAATGCTGGCTCCCTTTCCCAGTTCTCATCCCTTGCCCCTTCTACTTCAGAGTCTTCATAGTCCTTGAAAACAGCTGCTTTGTCTCCTTCTGGACATCTTGCAGGCTCCTTTCCCCAACATCTGCCACAGAACTCTGCACATTCATAAATGGGGCCCCATAAATGTGTGTTCAATTAAAATGTCTTTTGGGGGCTGAAATTCCCAGAATCTCTAGTTGTGTCTTATAGTGGCTATGTTTACTCCTCACTACTCTATGCACCCTTTCATGTCTTCACTTGTTTCCGGATTCTTTGATACAGAGTTCATCCTATTGAAGATGCTGAGGTGAACAGCCCAGCAAGCAGCTATTATTTCCTTCTGTGGTGGAAGGGCACCTTTCCAGAGCAGGATTTATGAGTGGGTGATCATCTGCTTGTGTATTGGGAAAGACTCTAAATTCTTGTCTCACTGTCAAGCTCGCACATTAGAGATCTACCTTTTGGTATCTCTAAGGATGAAAAAATGTAAATACTTCTGCTAAAAGTAATAACCTCAGTCTGTGCCCTGAAGGAAAAATAGAATGAGCAGAGACCTGGGACACAGGATATGGAGGGCATAAGGGAGTGGGCAGTGCAGCAGGGAGGGAAGAAGTGAGCTGGATGGTAATGAGAAATGTCAAACCCCACAGTGATTTCCATATCTGCTCCTGCCTTCCCCATGACTTCATCACCAAACTTCCCATCTTGCCAAAGTCACTGAGTTTGCCATTCTGTTCTTGGAGAGATCTCAGATATGCTAACTATAGAAATTCTGGGCCTTTAAAATTATTATTACAAAATGTACTCAGATCTTAGAGTGAGTCTATTCCATATTGGAGAGCTTTTGTAACAAAAGAATATATGGTTAGCATTTAGAGTAAAATAGGAAAATTCTTAAAATAAGCCAGTTCTTAAAATAAGAAGCTTTGCAGGACATAATTCACGACATTTGGGACTGCTACCAATTTAGAATTTCCAGGTACTAGTAGGACACCTCTGAGAAAGGGATGAATAGATGCTGCTGGTCCCTCTTATTGACGGGGAAGCTGACGCACAGATTGATGCAATCATATATCCTTTGAGTCTGGGTGGAGCCAAGGTGCCCTGCCTTAAGCATGACCTTGCTCTTTTTTCCACTGTGTTTTCCCTCCAAGAGGCATAGAGTACCTTTTCATATAGATTGTTTTTTACAGTTCCATTATAGTTAATATACAGTGTTATATTTCAGGAGTACAGTATAGCAATTCAACTATTCTATATATTACCCAGTGTTCATCATTACTCAGCACTCTTAATCCTCTTTACCTATTTCACCCATCCCCAACCCACCTCCCCTCTGGTTACCAGTTTGTTCTCTAGAGTTAAGAGTGTGTTTTTGGTTTGTCTCTTTTTGTCTTTGCTTATTTTGTTTCTTAAATTCCACATATGAGACAAATCATGTGGTGTTTGTGTTTCTCTGACTGACTTAGTTTGCTTAGCATTATATCTCTAGATCTGTCCATGTTGTTGCAGATCTCATATAGATTCTTGTTTATTGTTATATCTTTCCTGGGAGGAAGGGGGGGAGAGAGAGCGAGGGAAAGGGAAAGAGACAGAGAGAGAAAGGTATGAACTCCATTTTGCCAGGTGGGAGAAAAAGGTATAGCATAATTAAGAGGTTCACCC